AGCAGTCAAGTGCCTTAGGCACTATGCTACCAGAGCTCCCATAGCAATTAATAAACTGATTTCCGAGACAAATTATACTATGGAAGAGATTCAAGCAATCATGTGCTGTACTTTATAGCACTGGATTAAACTTTCTAATGATCAAAGGTGAAAATCAGGTGGTACAGTGAAGAGCAACGATCTTCACACTTTATTCACATTCTAATAAATGTTTTTTTTCCTTGGTGTCTTCCCTTTAACATTGTAATTTACAAGTAAGGTCTTCAATTTAAGTTCCATGTGCAATGGTATTACCCACCTTACTATGGTACACTATCTCATTCCCCTGGAAATTACTTATTCAGCAGCCTCAATTATTGGTGTCATAGTGAGAATGATGAGAGAAAGGGACACTTGAGGAATAAGCAGAAGTTATAATCCCTAAGCGTCAATATGAATGACCTCCTAAGACTCTATCAAGTTCTCAGTTACATTCTAATATATAATCTAGTACAAATGATTATTTTATAAGCAAACTAGAAACAAAAATGTAGGATTTAAGAAAGCAGAAATGCAAAAGTGGCTAAAAAGGACAGCTGAATGCAAGGAAAGGGACACAGTTCAAAACGATATTAAAAACCATTAGTATTACTGAGAAAAGGGTCTGCATTCTAAACAATTAACTGTGTAAAAAGACACGTAAGTACAAAATATTTGTAGAAACATTTAAAAACAGCTAATATAAAACACATTTTGGCACTCAAAGGAACATGGTTTCAATTAAGTATGAGAGATGGAATACTTTACCCCAAACTGACAGCAAATTAGTTATTACGGTATTCAATGTTGGATTACCCCATAAGCAAGGTAAGCAGAGGCTTATCTGTGCTAACTTACTAATATGTAGTGAACAATTTCACGTTTTTGTCAGTACATCAAAGATTCTATCTATAAGTATGGCTAGCATCTGTTTCTCTCCCAACGACCCAGCACCTTCCTATAGAATCAAAGCCTCTTTTCAAATTCACAATCCCTGATGAAAGAGTACTCAGTAGCAAGGTAAACAGCACGGGCTTATTTGTGCTTACTTACTAACCTGTAGTGAACAATTCCACATGGGTTTTACCATATCAAACATGCAATCCACACCTGATGATGGAACTACATATTCAGCTATGTTGTTGTTGTTTGCTCCCCCCTAAAAAAAGTGTGTGTGAAAGCTACCTCAAGAATTGATTTATTATTTCATATTTCCATGAAATAATTTCCATCTTGGAAATTATCTTCATAAGTATCTACAAAGTTAAGGATGAGACATCAATCACATGCAATTCTATAAAGGGGTAACAGAAGAATACTGTGATGAATTAATTTAAGATCACTTGATTCCAAAGTGAATATGTGTCTATATTTTAAGACATATGAAGTTACAAGACTTTCTGGAAAAAAGACAGAAGTTTTAAGCAGCTCATATTAATCAAAACTCACCTTGAAATCAAATGTATAATTTGTGTAAGGCATCAGGCCATTCTCGTAGGCACTCTTCAACTTGAAACCGTGAGTGATCCTTCCATTCGTCGTTCCATTTTTCCCATGACAGCTGAAGTTTGTAAGACTTTCGTTATATCTCAGCTCCTTAAAATCTTTATGATTTGTTTCTACTCCACCAGTGCTCAAATATTCTACCACACCTACAATGAAGTTTTTCATTGTCAAGATATGAGTATAATATATACTATATAAAAGTTTAGCTTGAGTTATAAAAATAATAGAAAAAAACTAGAAAAAGATCATAAGCAGTTTTAAATGTATATATCCTTACTTTCTAAAATGCTTAATTTTGTCTTTTTACATTTGCCAGTACTTGTCCAAATCCATTTCCATATTGCTTCAATCATATGGTACGGAATGTACTTTGCTCTTTCCATTTAGTACTGTATCATACATGTTCATATGTGTCTTCCCAATTATCTTTTTTTTTAATGGTTGCATACTACAACAGGGCTGGTACATAATATTTGATAAACAAGTTCCCTTATTTTTAAAATTTGAGTTGTCTCAATTTTGTTAAAAAGTCACATTCCAATCAACATCTTAGTATATAGCATTCTGCTTATGCTAAATTATTTACTTGGCAGAGAATTCCAATAGGCTTAAATATGCCATTTTATGATATTACTAATTGTGGAAGAGAATTGCACCAGTTACTTACAGAGAAACCTCACCATCCCTAAGCACTATTTTCTAAGCAAAATACAGGCACTGCAAATCTATTTTTAACTTCTATACAATCAGTTAGCAGGGTTAAACATTTTTTCCATGTGTTTGCTATTTAAAATACTGTATTTTTCAACACTGAAATGGCTCTGAAGGTGTGTATTATTTGACTCCTTGTTGCTTGTACACTTTGTAGGTAAACAAAGTGGAAAATATATATTGCCAGAGAAGAGTAATCCTCAACTGCTTCAACAGCAGTAATTCCCAGATTAGCTTGATGAGATGGGTCTTAACCTTTATTTTTCTGGAAAAGGAATTTTAATATAGCCTCTATTTTCTTAATAGCTCATATACACTGTGATGGCAATGAATTTAACCAGTACAACGTGATGTGTGTGTACGCACATACATATGAGTGTGCACGTGTGCAAATCCCAGGAAAAGTATTCTTATATGTATGAGAGGATAAACAAGGAGTTGAAAACCAAAAAGGAAAAATATTTACCATCTTTTAGTTTACTGTATAAGGACTACAGTACTATCTATGGTTATTCAAGATTCAGACTTTCTGTGTTCTATAGAATTTTTATTGTGATAAAAATCAAGATTCTTTCTTTGCTGTTATTGTTAAAACCACCTGCATTATCTGTGTAAAGAAAGGATCTGAATTTCGACCTGACATGTATTTTTCTAAATAAGTCCACCAAAAGTAATAAAATTTGAGATTCTGTAATATATGGTCAAATTTAAACTGTGATTATATTAATACAGGCTGGAATCCCAAAGAGGCTGACCTAGTTAACTTTTTTAGTATCTGGATTTCCTAGCACTTCAAAATAATAATATACAATTAATTATATGTTCTTTAATGAGTTCTTCCAAATTATCATCTATGTGTTTACCAAAGATGATTAATGTCCTTTCTCTACATTAAGTTTTCAATATATTGTATGATATTCAAAATGGTCCTCTCACCCCAGACCAAAAAAAAAAAAAAAATTTTTTTTTTTTTAAAAGACTGAATTTTCATTTTGGACTAAATTTGGAATTATTAGAAATATATTACAAAAATCTTCTGAACTAAAAAAGCTTTCTATATTAAAAACATTCTTTTCTTACCAGAGTCTGGCAAAGAATTAAGATCTGCACATAAGACAAGTGGAATAGTTCCAAATTCTCCCACTACACTGGACTTGAAGCTTCGAGAGGCTTTATCAATAATGTTCTTTACTTCTGAGAGGAACATCATAGTTTGTACCAACTTCACATCAGAATATTCAGGATCCCAATGCATATGAGCATTAGCCACAAGAATAAGTTGTTTTTCTGTTCCAAGATGTGTCTTTCCAGCTATATTAGATAAAAAGAAAACGAACAAACAAACAAAAACCCGCCCATCAGCCCGTATGTCCTTAAGAGTGTCTAAAAGCAAGTGATCTTAGAGTCTGAGAATAAAAAAAATTACCTAGCAGTTTCCCTGAGAAACAGACATCTAAACCTCTGGTTGAACATTTTCAGGGTAAGGTACTCACTATTTGTATGAACATGGTCTATTCTACTTGGGGCACCTTTGATTTTTATACAGTGCTGTCTCCTTGAAACCTTCAGTCTTAGTTTAGATTTCCTAAATCAGGCCTCACAGAATTAAATCTTTCTTAGATATATTTAAGACAGTTATTAAATTCTATTTTCCATCTTTTTCTAGATATACTTTTAATTTGAAACAAGTGGCCCATTTATCCAAAGCTTAAGACTTTTAAAATAATTTTTTTAAGTAGGCCAGAAAGAGAAGCTTATAGACTATTCCTGTTGTCAAGAAAGGTGTGGAGTTCTTATCTCTGAGCAGTTATTTTAGCTACTATTTACTTCAATTTTTCTTTTATGTGAGAAATTCTTGAGAAGAAAAAAAAATATGTATATATATATATAGGTATATATATACATATACACACATACATACATCATACATACATTTTTGCTTTATGCCTTTCAAGGTTTAAAACAAGTTTTCTGGGCAATGCTCCCTCATCTTAAACTTTATAGTAGAGGAAAAAGGATAAGATATTTTAAAAAGATTTAGATTCTCACTGAGTTTCTTCAGGTGTTAAGACAAGATCATTAATACACAATGAATTTTCTGTTTTCTATTCTTTGAGAAGACGGTAAGTTGGAACATTTAAATTTTGGAGGTCAATTTCACAGGAAGTGAAAGGATCACTCACATGACATTTCAATCAATTCCTTTCGAAGTTCTAGCAGTACTGCAACTCCAATGTTATCTTTTGTCATGACTCTGTTCAGCATAGCTTCAGACCCTTCTGAATTTGCCATTGCTAGCTGATTAAATTCAACAGTGTGTTTCTGAACCAAAGTAAATCTAAAACAAAAACAAAAACACACACACAAACATAGAATTGGGAATACCAATATATTAGCTTTGTGGGAATTATAGTTTTCCCTAACTTCCTTAATAGATATGATGGCGTTTAACTCACATTATAGAAAATCCTCTAAACGTTTTACACCAAGCTTCCCATATTAATTTTTACGTTGGTTTGTCTGTCACTGATACAAATAGCATCCTGAAATACCTTCGCAACTTAAGCTAATGTAGTCATCTTCTGTTTAGGTTTCATGTTGAAATATTCCATCCCTTAATTTTCAAATAATTTGTTTGCAAAGTATGGGTTTAAGAGGGAATGTCAGCTATATGGTGTTTCTAGTAACAATTGGAGTTAAACCCTAGTAAACACCTGAAGAAACAACAGTACTTTAAACATGTCTCCAAAACAAAATTATTTCTGACTAAAAAAGAAACAAAAAACTCAAGTCAATAGTCTCGTTTTCTTGAGAAATAATCCAGTATTTCATTCTCTAATATGCCAATGAATTTCCACAATCTTGGTTCCAACTCCGCAAATACTGAAAATATTTTCTTTCTGAAAAATAAAATGACTTACTTTTCTGTCTTGAAGAATATTGCACAGCCATCAACATGTTTTCTTTCTTGTTCTGACATTGTCCGAGCTCTAGACTTAGGACTGAAGAATCCACTATAGCCTCGTTCTTTCAGTTCTACCAGAAAAAAACTGTAATACTGTTCCGTTTCAACCTCCTAAAAAGTTATAAATAGCAAAGTTATTTCATAAGACAAAAATTATCCTATGCATTATCATTATGTAAAGTTTGAGAACTTGAATCCTGAAGAACTGACGTGGAACAAGAACCTTAGAGAGAGAACAGACTTGATAATCATAATTCCAGGCCCATAGGGAGAAAGTGACTTGGCTAGGGTCACATAAGTTAGTTTAGTAACACTGGTAGGAAAACAAAATTATACCTTGGTAATGCAGTAACAGTTTCAGTAACATTGCCACCCAATAAAAAATAGTGTGAAGAAAATTAGGAGGGAAAAGGTGAATATTTAGCTGCCACAGCACATGCTTAAAACCCAACATAACCCATTTGCTTAATCTGAAAGCAAAGGGCTAAGTAGTAAAGCATGTGGAGAATGCCCCCAGGATTCACTAAAAACTGAAAAGGCTAGTATTTTAAGAACTGCTAAAGCTATGTCAGTGTAATGCATTCCAAGTTTCTGCCTGGCTTTTATTAATGTTGGGGATTTGTGCAATCTAAACAAAAACTCGTTTGCATGACTTACCTGAAGACTTATGATATCAGCATTACAGCCCAAGATTTCTTGAATAATGGCCTTTTTCCTGTAGTCCCAATTTAGTGCCCATGATGGACAGTAGCCGTATAACTGCCGGGTCGCATATTTATCACAAAGAACATTATAGCACATGACAGAAAATAAGGCTGTAGGAAAGATAACTTTACTTATTCACACACATGGCAGGAAAAAAAAACAACAACTAATTTCAGTAATAGTTTCATTTAAATTCTTTAAGTTTGACTTCATTCTTCCAATGTATATTCATTGATAAGCTACTATGTAACAGACATGGGGGACATAAATATAGATGGATAACAAAAGAAGGGTAATTACGTGAACAAATTACCATGTAATGTGTTACCTGCTACAGAGGCACACACTGGAAGTTTGGAAGCTAAAAGAGTAAGACCTTGAGCCCTTCAGCATGTAAAACCAAGGCTTCTTCTATCTACACCCTACCCCCCAAATCCCCCAATGTTAATGTAGAATGTGGAAACTAGACAGGTAGTCTCTTTATGAGGCATGTCTAATTTTCTTCTACAGAACCAACCAGTTGTGGCTGAGTCAATTCTGACTCATGGAAACCCCACATGTATGAGTAGAACTGTGCTCCACAGGGTTTTCCATGGCTGATATATATATATTTTTAATTTAAAAGCAACTACTTGAATGCATATAAAAAGAAAGCACTATCAGATGGATTTTCCCCAACTATTTTGATAGATTTTAAATTAAAAAGAAATTAGAAATCACTAGCTCAATTTTTCTCTCAGGTAAGGGCTTTGGCTGTCTTACAATTCTATAGTATCAAATACATTTGGAACACGAAGGATTTGTGCTAGGATTTGGAAACTTACAAAAAAGAAAGATTTTGGAATATTTATATAATGACTAAATTTGATCAATACTTTATAGCAGGATTTTTCAACAATGGCACAAGTACTGACATGTTGAGGGAGATACTCTGTTGTTGTGGGGGGCTCTTTTATGCATTACAGGATGTTTAGCAGCATCTCTGGTTTCTACCCACCAGATACCAGTAGCCTGTCTCCTCCTTCCTCAAAGTTGTGACACCAAAAATGTGTCCAGACATATTCAAAAGTCGTTGGAGGATAAAACTGCCTCTAGTTGAGAAGTACAGATGTAGAGCATACTTTCTATAGCATGTACATACAGATGCCAGATAAGCAAGAATTAAATCTCCATTATTATCTCCAAATAAATCAATCTTAAGTATTTGACCTTACTGATGCCCATAATCTGCATCATGCCAATAATATTTTATGCTTATAAAGACCAAATAAAAATATGAGGAAAAAATAAGGCTACCAACCAGTTGGTCTTGTTCTGTCTGGTTCTTGTAACATAATCCAAGATCTTGGAGGTGGCTGATCTGTTGAAACTATTGAATATAAAATATAAAATTAAGCAATATTCTTACATGTCTTCCTGATAAAATGATTTAAACAAATGACCACTTACTTCTTTTTGCAGTACCTGCCAAATTATCAAGCAAATAGTTCAGTAGCCTTCTTGTTCCATCTGGTTCCTGATAGAGGTTCAATATATCCTGGGTAAGTGGATTTCCTGGAAATATTTTAAAAAGAGGTTAAAATACAATTCAGAGAAGTATGAAAATAGTTCTAAATTTAAGAAGTATCAAAGTTATCAGACCCATTAAAACAATGTACATGGCTATTACCAAGCTATCAAACTATAGAAAACATTTTTTTTTTTTTTTTAATGTGAAGAGTAAAAGTAATACAGAGCTTGTTTTATAGATTTATCTCCCAAAAATAATTACTAGTGACTGATATCTATCTAGAAGATCTCTACTAGTGCCCCGTATTTGATTCTGCCTGGTCAACTCTGTCAATAACGTGGATGGTAAAGTCATCAGCAAGTGAAACTGGATTGAGGGGATGGGAAAAGGGCATCAAGATAGAAAAAAATGACAGTCAGTGCAATTAACCAGACAATTAAAATTCAAGAATGCACAAAGCTAACGAGAAAACATTCTAACGACAAATGCCATCTTGCACTTGGATTTTAAAAAACTTTACTGAAAAAAGTAACTAGATGGGGCAGACTTAGTCTAAGAGTTAACTTACTATGGGTGGAAGAAAAATCCCATAGCCTTGAGTCATCTGTAAATTCAGTAACTATGATTTATGTCCAAAAATGAAAACAAAGCAATGATTTACATAAATCTATGGATCTCAAATCCTTTCAGAAGCATTTCTTAGATTTTGTGAGATAGGGAAACACCTTGCAAAAAGTAATCTGGCCATACTGAGGGCTTCCTGTAAGATGGAGGAATAGGTAGACAATCAACACAGACCCTCTTCAACAAAGGAGAAAACAACTGACAGTGATATAGAAGATAATCCTGGAGCCCTGAGCTTTGAAAGGAACTATACAGAAGTGGATGAGGCAAACCGGCACGATGAAAAAACCTGAACGAAAACAGTGAGAATGGAGACAATCAGAGCTGCCAACTGTCAGCTACTCTGACGGGACCAACAGCCTAAATATTTCCAACTAGTGTCGGGACCTGAGACTTGACCTAAAGATCAGCCCTGGTTGCCAAGGGCTTCAGGGATGACTGTGCTGGTGGTCTAAGACTAGGAAGGGAAACGGCAAGAAGGGAGACAACCTGAGCTGTGGACTTTCTGCTGTCCAGAGGGTGCAGTCATTTTGACTGTTTATATACAGCAGCCATTTTGAATATTTAAAGTGGCCAAGGGCACAGCTATTTTCAATGTTTACAAGCAGTGGCCATTTTAGATATTTAAAGTGACTGAGGGTGCAGCCATTTTGAATATTTACAGGTGGCAGCCATTTTGGATTTCAAACTGACAGCATTTTCATTAGGATTCCAGGGACCTAAGAATAGGCTCTGCTTGCCAAGGACAGCAGGGACACACAAGAGGCTGACAACAGGAAAGGAGACAGGAGGTGAGTGTATAAGTGCAGTCAACTAGTGAACAAAGGAGCAAAGTATAGTACCCTGCTTATGTAGATAACATACAAACAAAACAAAGAAAACAAAAATTGTGGGCAAGTCACTCCAACACTGTTGTTATGTGCCATTGAGTTGGACCCAACTCATAGCGACCCCTCCTTGGGTTTCCGAGGCAGTATCATTACGGAAGTAGATTGCCCTATCTTCCTTCTAAGGAGTGGCTGGTGGCTTTGAACCGCCAGCCTTCTGGTTAGCAGTCAAGTGCCCTAGGCACTACGCTACTGGAGCTCCCACTCAACATACAATAACCAATTAAATATAAACACAAAAATGTCACAATGCTTTGGAGACAACAGAGCATCACAGTCCACACAAAGAAGCAAGATAAAGCAGGAGAAACAAAGGACCAGAATACAGAACCAAAACACGTCCCCGAGGAAGAAGCAGCATTGGAACTCCCTGACAAGGAATTCAAAAGAATTATATTTAGGTATCTTCAATGAATAGAGAAACAGATCAAGGAAAACACTGAAAAAATTGAGGAAAACACAAAGAAAATCCTACAACAATTTTGAAAGACAATACAAGAACAAAATGACAAAATAAATGAAAAATTAGAAATGACATAAAATCTACACACACAAATACAGAAGACATTAATACTAAATTTTTAGGAATAGACAAGACACTGAAGAGGCAAAGCAATAGAGCTGAATCAATGGAAGACAGGATGAGTGAGATTGAAGGCAAATATCTGAATACTTCTTTGGAAAGGGATCAATCAGAAAAAAGATCAGAACAAAATGAAGAAAGCCTCAGGTTCATGTGGGATACCATCAAAAGGAATAACCAACGTGTCACTGGAATTCCAGAACAGAGAGAGGCAAATAAAATCACACAGAAAATTGTTCAAAGATTTGTTGGAAGAGAATTTTCCTGGTATGATGAAATATGAGAATATATCCATTCAGGAAGACCAATGAACCCCAAACAGGACAGACCCCAAAAGAAAAACACCAATACATATCATCATCAAACTCACCAAAACCAAAGACAAAGAAAGAATCATGAAAGCAGCACAGGAAAAACAAAAAGTTACCTACTAGGGGCAACCAATAAGACTAAGCTCAGATTTCACAGCAGAAACCATGCAGACAAGAAGACCATGGGATGATATATACAAAACCCTGAAAGAGAAAACTTTCCAACTAAGAATTAGATACCCAGCAAAAATGTCCCTCAAATATGATGGTGAAATTAGGACATTTCCAGATAAGCAGAAATTAAGGGAATTTGTTAAAACCAGACCAACCGTACAAGAGATGCTAAAGGGAGCCCTTTGGACAGAGACCCAACAACAGCAAACAACAACTGACCATTAACGCATAGGATGACATAACCCAGAAACCAACCCAGCTATGGAAGTATCCAAAGTAAATAAGTCTACAAGATTGTAAACAGGGAACCAGAGACATCAATTGACAAATGAG